ATCGTTTTCTTTAGCCCTGGCCCGCAACCTTTGTGTATGATCACGCAATATGTTCTCCTCCTCCTCCACGCTTTATCTACAATAAGGGTCAATGACCTTTCAACCTTACCACCCACCACTTACACCCACGCCCTCTCTGCCTGCTGTAGCCCATCAGTTCATCTCCTCCTTCATACGGACGGACTCAACGTGCACAAAAACAAGATATTGCACAGTATCAGATTTGGTATCACTGCACTGAAAGCGTAACATCTGAGACATCCTGTAGCTTCAATAGTGTCCTGAAAGCAAGTCCTGTGTATTGTCTTTTCTTTCCCTGCAATCCTTCCCTATTCAATTCTTTTTTTATCACTCGTAACGTTTAAATCACTCAGCGAAACATCTTTCTCTAATTTAATTTGACTGCTTTTTTTGTGGTTATTAGCAGAGATTATGAAAAAGCTGTGTGATAAAGGTTCTCTCTCAAGAGGGACTCTCCCTATTTTGATTTTGAAAACAAGCATTAAGCCCACTCAATCCTACTTCAATATAATTTACAGCACCCTCGATAACAAACAGCATGAGCCTTGTGTTGAGTAAATGGCTGTGACTGTGTGTGGCTCGGCAGCAGATTTGGTGTAGGAGGGGTTGTAGAGCAAAAGCAATAATGGCAGTGTATAGCAATGTTGCCTTGAATGCCAGCAGTGATAAAGGTACTCCAGACAGTATCGCTGAAACAAGTCTAGACAGTGGCTCTGTAAATGAATGGCATTTGAGATTCTAACAGGAGACCTGGCCATGCTCTCTCAGTGGAGAAGTCATCACTATGTTTGCTTACAGCCTGCTGACATTTTGCTGATAAACTGAGAACCAACAAAAAGAAAACCCAGTTTGACTGTCAGTCGCCGGGGGACAAAGCCAAAACAACAGATCTTTGGAATGAAAAGTAATCTCTCTCCTCTTTCACACACACTGTTTCTACACCCGTCAGAATGTGTCCGTCTCCAAGTCCCGCTCTCTCTTCCTCTCTCTCTGTTTCCCCTCTCCTCTTCTCTCAACCCCCCTTGGAAGCGACTGATCTCATAGCGCGTGAGAGTACTACTCGCATCAAGAGTTGAGATAATCATGTCACAAACTAGTGAGAGCGACTGCTACCTGTGAGCCAGTGAAGTTGAGCATGTAAAAAGTTGAAAAACTAAATAATAAGTGAGCAGCAAGAATGCATGAATGAGAATAACTTGACATTCGTAAGGTTGCATATAAATAGCTTTGTAACCATTTGATGGTTATTTAAGAGTTTTTGTGATTCATATGAGTCCAACAAATTGAACCAAAGCCATGTCCTTGTGGTTAACAATGTAGCTGGTGCAGATCCTGCATCAGATTGAGACAGTGGAAAAGTGCAGAAATGAAACTCCCATCAGTAGACACTTAAATGTCATTGAATGAAAACAACATGACACCCGCCTTACAAAATGTCAGCCACAAGGTTTGCAGAATACCTCTGAACTGTTCCATTTGTTCCCTGTTGACCTTTGCATGCATACTTGCATGTGCAGGCGGTGTATGTGTTTGTGTAGCAGAGAGACACTGCAGCAGTCTGCCACGGTCAGAGGAAGAGGAGAACGAGGAGGAGGAATTTTTTGGTTCTGCTGACTGGCTGACCTGCATGTAATTAGTCAAGTCATATTTTTAACTGATATTGCGTAAAAGCCAGCTTAAGGAGCCATGGCTGCCCTATTTATACCCAAGGGGCTAATGGCCTGTACCACTACACAGGGGGATTTCCTCCCAGAACTATACTAAGCCCTCCTTAGGCTGTACCAGGATTAACCCAGCAATACATTACAGGCGTCACCCTCTAGTCTGCACCACTCACACTGTTCTACTCTCCTCCAATCAGCTCTTTTCCGGCAATATTCAGCACACTCTGTTTACAACTCTGCTTTCCAGAAAGTTATATTCAATTTGGTTTGCTGCACCCATGGCACACCCTGTTTGTCTTATTCCTCAACGATTTGTGCGACGGCAATGTGTGCAAGTGTGTCAAGAGTGAGCACATTTCCCACATGGAGTCATTCTTAGAATGAGTCTTTGCGTGCGGAGCTGCTGGCTCACCCTGTTGAAGAATGGGTCACGGCCCTGAAGGCTGACCTGGCCTTTTGCCCAATAAGCTATCGCCCATATCACCCTGTCCTTTTATCAGCTTAACTCGGCTCCTTGTGGAGTAAGCCACCACACACGGCTAGTAGTACTCCCCTCCTCCCCCACACCAACTCCCGCCGTCACTCCAACTTTCCATCTATCCATCTATCTGTCCATCTATCTATCCATCTATCTATCTATCTATCTATCTATCTATCTAGTGTCC